AAACAGAGGGAGAAAGGCGGGGGGGGGGGGGGGGGGGCAAATCACTCCGAAATATGAAAAGTGAAATGGCCAGAAAAATAGAAAAATCTCAAAATGGCTTTCTGACTCTGGGTAAACAGTAACCACATTTTTTTTGCCTGTTGGAGGCCTGGTTTTTAATCACTCCACAAGCAGTTTTCATTTCTGTAGTAAAATTGCTTGTGGTTCTATTTAATTTGTTTCTGCAGGAGCCAGCTCTGGTGAAGATCTCTGAGGAGCTGGCGGGCATTTTAGCACAGCACGCACAGCCAGTCAATGAGAAACAGTTCCCGACATGGAGGAAATTCCTCCAAACATTTCTCACTCAAGGTAAATAAGACTGCAAAGTTTCTATTGAGGATCAGTCTGCATAAGCTTAGGTTCTAGTTTGAGGTCAAGCCAAGGCCAATTCAAACACTCTACATCAGCCCATGTTGGTTTAGAAATGTTCCTACAGCTGACTTCATTCTTTTTCAAGCTTTGCCTAAATATTTATCTTGCACCCAGCCTCCTTTAAGTAAACAGGAACTGAGCATGCCAAGCATGCCAAGCGGATCTCAGGATCCCAGGCTCTTCTGAGAGGAAGGCTTGGCTCTAAACCACATCCATGACCTTGAATGAGGCTCTTAAGCCTTCAGAGATCCAGTTTCCTTACTTACCTACATATGGTTGTTTGGGAGATTCAGTGATAAAGGTGAAACTTTCTACCACAGATTCTGATACATAACAGACCTTTACTAAAAGCTAGTTTTTGTTCCCATTTTCTAGGAAAGCAGAAATGGCCTCGTGTCCAGTTCAGAAAGGTAGCATTTCCAAACGAGAATCCTCTACAGTCTAGGCATAAAATCAGCCTCCGTTCCCTTCATCGTCCCCTTCCTTCCTTCCTCATCCTCATTTTTAATGACATTGGGAGGTCCATGACTGATGAGGGAAGGAACAGAACAAATGAAGCTTATCTCCAGTCTCAGAGGCCCCCGGGGTGCCACACAAAGGCACATCCAGGCAAGGGCCTTCTCTCCCTCCCGGAGGTTGCAATGGAAGGTGCACGTGCTTATATATATGAGCTGCTTAACAGACCACAGAAGTCATCTTTGTACTGTACTCACTGCTGTTGAGTGACGATAACAGTAATAATACATTAGCATTAATATATAATGATAAAATGATAACGCTATGCCAAGTTAAAGCAACAGCACAATAATGATAATAGCACACTGATGATAACATACTGAGCACACACAGTGGGTATTGCATGCCAGACATCCTCCTAAGTAGACACACATTAACTTATTTAATCCTCCTATCAATCTAATGAGGTGGCTACTGCTATCACCCTTGTTTGAAATAGGGGGAACCTGAGGAACAAAAGACTGGGACACCCTAAAACATAGAAGGGCCCATAAAGTCTACCTCTATGTTACTGCAGGAGTCTTGTCCAGTGCCAGTCAGTATATTCATCAAGGAACACAGCAGCTCAGCCCAATGTATGTGAGAGGGTCAGAAAGGATAGGCCTGTTTGTTGTTGAATGCATTGGCTGGGCAGACTGTGGCAGATGCCCTGGTAATGAATTATTTAAACAAGAGGTTGGATGCCAGCCATCTAACCAAAAATGCCAAAAAGGATTTGTGTGTGTGTGTGTATTTGTATGTGTCTGTATGTGTGTATATGTATGCATTTGTGCATATGTGTATATGTGTATGTCTGTATTTGCATGTGTATGTGTGTGTGTGTATGTGTGTGTTTGTTACAGTGTCCTCTCATCTCTAAAAGTCTATGAATCAACAAATTTCCACATGCATCCACGGACAAAAATAAATAAATGTAAGAAAATCAACTCCAATTGTTAAATGGAAGAAAATGCAGTGTATTCCACAAGGAAGCAAACAAAAAAAGTTTAAAATAAGGGATTTTTTTCAGTGAAGAGGAAAAATCATAAAAGTCTCCAGGTCCACTCAGGACAGCGTGTTAGAGTTTCCATACTGCCAAGGTCAGCCTTCAAAACCTTGCTCTAAATGATCTCATTTCATGTGAATTCCCAGTCACTATTTCCCCTGAGCTACTGACCTTCACCTCCATCATCTCCTATTCATCTTCCTCCTTTTTTCCTCAGTCATGTTATAAATGCTGTGTTTATGGGTGGGAGGCAGAAAAGACTTTATTAACCCAATTTTCAGATGAAGAAACTGAAGCTCAGAGATATAACAAATGACAAGGGGAAAAAATCATATCACACCTAAGTAGTGAATGAGAACACAGCCGGATGATTTTAAAATCTGGTTCTTGTAAGTAATGTACTTTAGAAGCTTCTGTGTGACACTGAGCCTGGTGCTCAGGCCCTCTGTGTTTCTGGCCGAGTGGGCTCCACCCCCTAACTCTGACTATAAGGTTATAGTCTCTCACCAGTTCCCACTAGTACCTGTTCCATTCCATGTCTGTTCTCATGAGTGTGCTTAAGGCCACAAAATGTGCTACAGTTTTGGTTTCTACATTGTTACAGACTTAGAAAAAAGGCAATACTTTTTTGAAAAAAAATTAATTGCTTTGAAAGGAAAAAAGGGGGACTGGAGAGATGGCTCAGGGGTTAAGAGCACTGACTGCTCTTGCAGAGGACCTGGGTTTGATTCCCAGCACCCACATGGTAGCTATGAACTGTCCTTAACTCCAGTTCCAGGGGAATCCAAGGCCCTCTTCTGACCTCCACGGAATTGCATGACACAGTGCACTCACATACATACAGACAATACACTCATACACATAAAATAAAAAAGTTTCGCTTTCTACATCATATTACCTCATCTCTAAAATATGTTAAGCTGGGACCAGTGGCACATGTGCATAATCTCAGCATTTGGGAGGTGGAGGCAGGAGGATCAGTAGTTCAAGGCCAACCTTAGCTATATAGTGAGTCTGTGGCCACCTTGGCCTGCATGAAACTCTTTTTTAAATTTAAAAAAAAAGAAAGGAAAAAAAGACAACAGTGAGAGGTTATGGTCATGGTGCTGAGAAGACAATGTAATGGAGTATGTTTGAAATAATATAGGTAAAGAAATCCTGCAAGTCATAAAGGACATCGATACATTCCCTTTCAAAGTGTAAGTGACAGCCAAAGCCACTAAGTCAACTAAACCAGAGAGATTCACTAGGTTTGGGTTTTGTTTGACTGCATTTTTCTTACTAAACCCCAACAACTGGTATTCAAGAGCACACTATGGCGGGCCTCTTTTGCAAAGAATATGTTTTTAATTTTTTTAAACCTTTTATGTTTATGAGTGTTTTGTCTGCATGTATTTAAATGCACTATGTGTGTGTGCAATGCCTGTGGAAACCAGAAGAGGATGTCTGATCCCCTGGAACTGAAGTTAGAGACTGTTGTAAGCATGTAGGCGCTGGGTCCTCTGTAAGAACAACTAGTACTCTTAACTGCTGAGCCATCTTTTCAGCCCCAAAGAGAAGAACATCTCGAACAAACCTAACAAATAAATTTGGAGGTTGAATATGCACCTTCCAAAATCAGTTCTCCTTCTGAAATGCAGCATTCATTAGGGCTACCCTGACCAAATTCATAGACATTAAAGAAAGTGCCTCTTGCATCAAGAAGCAGATCATTGCCTTTGAGAACCACCAAAATCTCAGAATTTAACCATTATGCTACTGCAGTTGTGGCTGGTAGAGATGAACAGAGCCACCGCCCAACCATTACTCAGAAAAAACAGCATATCCTGCTGATCACTCACATTCTCAGTGTGTGCGTGTGTGTGTGTGTGTGTGTGTGTGTGTGTGTGTGTGTGTGTGTATGTGTGTATGTGTGTTGTGTATATTGGTTTGTTTGAGATATGACTTCACACTGTAGTTCAGACTGGCCTGGAATGTACTTGTAGCCCAGGCTAATCTTGTACTCATGGCAACCCGTTTGCCTCAGCCTCCTGAGTGCTGAGATTACAGGTATGTATCACCAACCCTGACCTACTGGTTCTATTTTTAAATAATATTTTATAGTTTGTTTTTTAAATGTGTGTGTGTGTGTGTGTGTGTGATGTGCATATATGTGTATGTACCATTCTTGTAGCAGTCAGAAGTTGATGTTGGGTGTCTTCTTTGATTGCTCTCCACTTTATTCTTATTTATTTACTTATTTATTTTATTTGTGTGTATGCATGATTTATGTGTATACATGACCTTATGTGCACCACATGTGTGTAGGAGCCTGTGGATACCAGAAGAGGGTGTCAGATTCTCTGGAATTGGAGTTAAGAACAATTGTTAGCTGCCATGTGGTTGCTGGGACTCAAACCTGGGTCCTCTGCAAAATCAGCCAGTGCTCTCAACTGCTGAACTATCTCTCCAGCCCTTATACCTTATTTTTTGGACAAAGCTTCTTACAAAACTTGAAGCTTGCTGACAGCCAGCGAGCCCCAGGGATCCTCCTGCCTCTGTCTCCCCAGGAATAAGATTACGGCACATACCACTGCACACAGTTTTTCATAGGTGCTGGGGATTGAACTCAAGCCTTCATGCTTTCATGGCAAGTATTTTACCAACTGAGCCATCTCTAGTCCCTATAGCTGACTTTCTTTAGGGAGCCTCTGGCTGGCATGATGTCCAGTGTTCTCTATGCCTGTTAAAAGCTCACACCTGTCGAACACCGGGAAAGCAATAATGCTGAGCAGAATGAGCACTCTGCTCATTCAGATACAAAGAGTCGACAATGGGCAATTAATTCCCTCAGAGAGATTTGCTCATAATCCTGGTGATGTAGGTTTTATTACACCCCAATTTTACAGATGAAGAAAAGTAAATAATAATTTGAAGTTATTTTTCCTAGTCTCCCAAGATATGACAAGGGCAGGATCTGAGTCCAAACCTAGGCATTTCATTCTGCTCTAAATGGGTGCCTTTCTCTTGACTGTGTCCTTTCATCTACTCCATGATTTTCCCACCAGGGGGCGTGATCGAAGCTTACCCACCAGTGGACAGTGTCACCAACTTGACCGTAGACATGTTGATAGAGCCTGATGGAGAAGTCAGAGTGCTGTCCACAGGGGACCAGTTTCATGCTGATGGCCCCTTTATTTCTTCTGGCACCACTATGCCTCAGACCTCAGTGGACCCCCAAGTTCTCATTTCTTTGTGCCTCCAAATTGGAAATGCCTGCAAAAAGAAAGATGTGGTTGGTTACTTTTCTATAGATCTGGTGACTTTTATTGATCCAATCACCTTACAGCAGCAGGTAAGTTGAATAGATGGCACATCAAACACTAGAATACCCTTCACAGTCATGCAGCAGACAGTAGCTGGGAGCAGCAAGGGCTCACCATGCTCTGAGGAGCTGACTGTAAATCTGCATCTATGCCGTCCAGGCTGACCTGTGGGACACGAGTCTTTCTATCTAAAACTACAGGGTCAAAGTACCCGCATTCATGTACATCTCTGTTAGTTGTTCCCTCAGTCCTGCCCATTAGTGTGATGTCTGTATCTTATTGGGAAACTATTTTACATTGTCCAGGGACTGAATCTATCTAAAGCCTGTTCTTAAATAGAAAACTAATCACTAGAAAGGAGTTAAGAGCCCTTATATCTGTTCTTTTTCTTTTGTATAGCTCACCAACAACTTAGGTTGTCAGTATTTTCTTTAAAACACACATTAGAAATATTTCAGAAACATAAAAAAAAGATCTAAGTAACCACACGGTCAATATCATATTACCATCCCTGCTTAAGAAATAAAGTGATGTCTACGGCACCTCACTGAATGCTTGACTCTTCTTCCTCTCTGTGTATAGGTAGGAACTCCCCTCTTAAAGTTAAGGGTTTGATTCCTTTATACATCTTTATACTTTTAGTGTACTGAGAGGTACCCAGAAATAATATATGATTTCATTCTATGTATTAAGTATCTCAGAGATTGCAACATCATATATATATATAATTATATATGTATGTAATTATTCAATGCTGTGAATACTGTGCTTTTGCTTATTCAAGATTACATCTGTTATATTCTTCATATACACATGTGTGGCTCTGGTGTGTAATATTCTCTACAAATAGCTTTTAAGCTGTTTGGCATGCTTTTTCCCTCTAAATTGTGTTTAAATTCTGTTTAAGCTGCTTCTCTTTTCATATGGGGTATCTAGACCTCTGTCCAGGTTGGAATGGCCTTCCAGTTTCCCTCTCTCCAAATCTTCTGGCGCAGAGTATAAATATTGTAAATATACTTTAGTCATTTTATGCTCATTATCCTCAGTCTTATGCTTTACTATTTCAGTCAGATGATAGTTTCAAAGCAAGAGTTTATGTTCGGGGCAGTTTGGGGCTTGTTCAATAACCATTTTCCATTTGCCACCATTGGTTTTACATTCTGTTCCCAGATGCCCACAATTGAGAGCAAAGAACGAACTGAAAGGCTTTCAGACCTACCTGAGGTAGAGAGAGGACAGAAACAACAGCCCCTGGTGAAAGACTGGAGCGGCAGGGAAGCCGGGAGGCTGCACCTTCCCAGCATGTGCCCTGAGAAAGAAAGATGAAATTTCTGGTTCCTGGGGTGATAGGGAAGATGGAACTATACGAACAGCTGACTGGTTGTTCTTAATTATTTGAATTTGGTATATGGAGACTTGCACACAGGAAAGAAATCTCATCCAAACACAATGTTTGTTCTCTAGGTTTACCACCCATATGGGCTTCTGAGAGAAAGATCTCACTCATCACTTGGCTAGTCCTGTGGGCCTGACCAGCCTTCTCTTACTCTAAATCTCTGCCTTTCTCTTTATTGTCTATCCCCACAGCTTTCCTCAGTCTCTCTTGTTCATCATACTACCCTTTGTTGGAAGGCCTGCATATATGTTGCACCTCAGCCTGAAATACTATTCTCAGAGTCTTACTATATAGCCCAGGCTGGCTTCAAACTTGATCTTCCTGCCTTGGCATCCCAAGTACTGAGGTTACAGGCTTGCACCATCCCCACCCCTGATTCTTGCCTCTTCTGACTGACACTCATTCCTACCCATCATATTTCATCTCAGGCCACACTTGCTTAGGGAAGCCCTTCCTGACTTTCTTGACAATGTCAAATCCCTGTTTTAGGTTCTCTTATCATTAGGTACCATTCTTTTCCTATCACTTATCCCAGTGGCTATTTTAAACTTGTTTATATAATTATCTGATTAATATGTGTCTCCCTCTATAGAATATAATCTCTCTATGTCTTTTTGTGCTCCCCATTATCTGATAAGCCTTATCTCTGCCCTGGATCAATATAGATGTTCAGTAAATATTGGCTAAATGAATGAGTAAAGAGTACAGATGTTCTAGCAGATGCGGGAAGGTGTCAAGCTATTTAGAGGAAGAGCTCAGAGTTGGTTGGATGAATATATATATATATATATGTGTGTGTGTGTAGATATACAGATGTACACATATATATCCATATATATATGACTGATTTTTTTCATATTATGAATTCTTGTCCTTTACCATTAGTATTTGAGTATATGGTCGTGTGTGTTACAGTTACAGTAGATGACATTCCCAGCGACCACCCAAAAGGCATTCCTACAGTAACAAAGGAAGTATGTTCATTCTCTCTCTGTGCATCAGAATTTGCAAATTGTAGGCATATTCTGGAACTAGTTTGCAAGTGATATAACTACAGAAATCACCTTCATTTTATTTTAGCTGGCCTACCTTGTGATGCCAGTGAAGAGATGGACAGACATATTACCAGCTTCTCTCTCTCTGTCTCTCGCTCACTTGCTCGCTCTTTCTCTCTTTACATGTTTAGCAGATAAGAATTTTCTTGTTTTACTTGGTATTTATTACTGATGATAAACAGCGTCTCATGTTTCTTAGCCCTTCTGCCTATCTACTCTTTATTTAATTGCCCGGTCATGTTTTCTGCCCCTTTTAAACTGAGTTATGAAGTACTTTATGTATAAAGAACTCATTCTTTAATCTACACATTGCAAATGCTTTCTCCCACATTGTCACATTGTCACTGTGTTCCCTGTCTCTTGTCTCTCTGTCTCTCTCTCTCATACCATCACTTTTTCCTTTGCAATATTTTGTGGGGAGAGATAATCAAACCCTCATCAAATTCTAAGCTTAACATCCAGGGCCCGTCATTCTCTAAATCAACTACCCCAATTATAATGGCATTTTCTCTTTCCATCTTCCTTAGTTTCTTTTCCTGTTGCTGTGGTGAAACACTCCAACAAAAGCAACTCAAGGGAGAAAGTTGATTCTGGCTCACAGCCCATCATGGCAAAGAGGTCAGAGAGATAAGAGCTTGAAGAAGCTCCCACGACAGGGAAGCAGAGAGGCATGAATGCTGCTGTTCAGCCTCTTTTTTCTGGTTATGCAGTCTAGAGTCCCAGCTGGAGAATGGTACTACCCGTGGAGGGGGGGTCCCACCTCAGTTAACACAGTATAATCCCCCACAGCCACGCCCAGAGGCCCATCTCCTGGATTAGCCTAGATTTTATCAAGCTGACAATTAGCACTAACTATCACGCCATCCTCTCTACATTCACTAGTTGGCAGTTTGCTGCAAGGGTTTTTCCTTCTTAACTTTCCTGTATGTATTGTGTATGCATGTATAATATTTGTATTAGCATGAACTCATGGGTTCCTGTTTTATTTAAATGGGTTGTATTTTGATATTTTTCTTCCTTTGATATATAAACTGTCCCATGTTTGACCAGGGGAGACCCTTTATGGTGGCTCCTTTATCCTTTTGATGTGTTTTTATCACTCTTTAAGCATTGTCTCACATTCTGATACAATGCAATATTCTAAATTCATTTTGTGATTTCCCTGTGTCACAGCAAGGATCAAGAAAGCAGGGGGTCAGCAAAATGGCTTGATCGGATAAGGCAGTTGCTGCCAAACCTGATGACCTGAGTTCGATCCTTGGGACTCATACTGTGGAAGTAGAGCACTCCTGCAAGTTGTCCTCTGACTACTATATATGCACTGTGGCACACATGCTTTCCCTCAAATAAATAGATAGATGACAGATAGACAGACAGATGGATGGAGAGAGAGAGAGAGAGAGAGAGAGAGAGAGAGAGAGAGAGAGATGAACTTTTAAAAAGAAGCTAAGAACCCAAAAGCCCTGACTTCTTTAGTGTAGGAAGGTATCAGGACTGGGGCCTTAGTGTTGTCATTGCTACTGGACATCATTGTTTCTGGGACCTTTCAATAGACAGAACTAGGAGATATGTGAATTATAGGTATATACACACACATGTATCTCCATCTACATACATTGTCACATACAGATACATACAAGAATCTGTAACTATTCCTAAATCTATCAGTATGTAGCTTTTAAAACTATGAGTTCCTACCAATATCTCCAGTAATATTCCAATACCTCAAAATTCTTTCTAGATACCTTTTCCATGTTTAAAAGTAAGAGTAGGGGCTGGAGCAATGGCTCAGCAGTTAAGAGCACTGACTGCTCTTGCAGAGAAACCAGGTTCTATTCCCAGCACCCACATGGCAATTTATAGCCATCTATAACTCCAGTTCCAGGGGATCCGATGCCCTCTTCTGACCTCCACAGGCATTTCACAACACACGTGCAAGCAATACACTCATATACATAAAATAAATAGAAATAATAAATATTTTAAAGTAAGAATAAATTATTTCACCAAGAGTAAGAAACAGGAGTGTCTTCAGTTACAGTCTATTTAATTTGTTCAATTTAGTCATTTCTTTAATGGGTCCAATCTCCCAAGTGCTTCTGCCATCTGCTTCACCTGCTGCATTATGCCCCAAGCCCAGGCCTTATGACTCAGGTGCCAAAGCCTATCATTTGTGCTTTTTTTGTAAAGTTTTTCACCACACCAAAGTTGAGTCAGATCTAATTCTTTGCTGTTACATTATTTTGAATTTATCATTTTGTCTAGCCTTCTTTTTTCTCAGTTGCAAAGTGAACAGGTTAGCTTTAACTTGTAAGGAAATTTTCAGTTCAGAAAATTATTTGCTACAATAATATTTTCATAGTGCTTCTATTTTCTGTATCAGAAAATTCAAATTTTAAGAGGCATCCACTTTTGAAAAATTATGAAAAGAAAATAATCACAAAGATTTATGTATATATATCACAAAATATAAATATTTCAAAGTCCAGTAATAGAAAAAAAATTAAACAAAGTATTATACACAAATGGAATTGAATGCAATTATATTAAAACTCATGTTTTTAATAATATTTAAAAG